TATGTGGTATTTATTGTACTTAAGTATGAAAAGTATTTTTTTAAATATTAAACTTACTTAAGTATTGAAAGTAAAAGAACAAGTAAATTTAAAATATAAAAGGAGCAAATAAATATTAAAAATTGTTCTATACACAGTTTAAGCAGAAAAATTATGTTCAGTTTTAACTCTTTCTTCCATTTTGTATCTTTGGGTTAGCATAAGAGACACTTCATCTGGTACGAAATCTCTTTCATTCCAACATAAGAAAACAGTTTTTGCAAATATGTAATCTGCATCTGAAGTGGAACAGACACTGTTTAATGCAGCTAAGAGGGGACATGGATGCATCTAACCAGCAGTTACAAATAATGTTTTGTTTTAAACATAAAAGTTGAATATTGATATTTGAAAAGATTTAAAACATGAAAAGATACTTGAAATGTGAAATTAAAACCACCAGTAGGTGGCAGCAAGTCACTGTTAATCGAGTGACTAGCGAGTCAATTTGGGCCCTATCATACACCCGGCGCAATGCGACGCCAGGCAGGTCGCAAGTGTTTTTTGCTAGTTTCAGCCCGACGCAGTTATCATTTTCACGTCCAGTGCCACGTTATTTAAATAGCAAATGCACTTGCGGCCATCTGTTCACCCTTGGCCGTGCTGGTCTAAAAACGAGGTGTGTTCAGGCACTTTGTTGGCATGTTGCTATTTTGAGGCAACTGAAAAAGATTGCGGCATTGACCAACTAAAACCTGGTCTAAGGTTATTTAGGTTATTTATTTACAGGGCGCGTTAGTAATATGCACCTATAGGCGAGGGCACACCGCGCGTACACTCTGCTTATTACACACAGAGACGCGCAGCAGCATACAAACATGCCAAATATTAAAAATGAAAGGATTACAATGTAAAAGATTATTATTATGCCTCGTAGATGGTCTGCTCGCGCTTTTTAACCTTGCGCACGAGCAGAACCTTTCCTCTCTGGAGAAACGTTCAGTCTTTGCTCTTGCAAATTCTGCCATGTAAAACAGCGAATCCGCCATGGCGCGACTACAACTGGCTTTTAAAGGAATGGGAGATGAGACTCTGATTGGTTTATTGCACGTTACGCCCAAAACACACCCATGACTCATTAAGAGAATAGGTACAACCCTTTTTGACCATGTGCCCGGTACACCGACCTTTTTCCCGTGGTTAAACTAGCAAAAGGACATTTAAGTATCTTTTATAAATGTGCCTTAGAAAATAATATTACTGGTGTGCATCTTGAGACAAAACAATGGCACTGACATATTTTAAGATATTAAAATTATTAAGTTTTTTTCAGTTAGAACAGCCCAGACATGCATTTTAGTCTGGGACTAAGCTTAAGCCTTGTCTGTGAAACCAGGGGAAGGAATAATTTACTTAAAGATTTACTTACTCCAGAATTGGAATCGATTTTTGATTCCCAAGCCTAACTATGGGTTAACATGTTACATAATATGCTCTTTTTTCGTTCTACCGAAAATGTGCCTGGAGTCCACCGTTGCTATAGTAACACTTTTACGTGCATCTGATTGACAAATAAATCATGGTTTATCTGTCAGTCAGATGCATGTAAAAATGCATGAGCTCTTATTTTAATTTTGTTGTTAATGTTGATTTCAACTTGGTACGAAGTTTGCTTTGTACATTTAGTTTGCTGAACTGGACGTTTTGATTGGTTTTGCACCTGAGTCAGACCTGTCTGTTATTAGCAGTGGTGGATAAATTACTTGAAAGCCACACTTAAGTAAAAGTATAGATATCTTACCAGAAAATGACCTTGGCATAAGTTAAAGTCATCGTTTAGAATATTACTTGAGTAAAAGTTTTCAAGTATGTGGTATTTATTGTACTTAAGTATGAAAAGTATTTTTTTAAATATTAAACTTACTTAAGTATTGAAAGTAAAAGAACAAGTAAATTTAAAATATAAAAGGAGCAAATAAATATTAAAAATTGTTCTATACACAGTTTAAGCAGAAAAATTATGTTCAGTTTTAACTCTTTCTTCCATTTTGTATCTTTGGGTTAGCATAAGAGACACTTCATCTGGTACGAAATCTCTTTCATTCCAACATAAGAAAACAGTTTTTGCAAATATGTAATCTGCATCTGAAGTGGAACAGACACTGTTTAATGCAGCTAAGAGGGGACATGGATGCATCTAACCAGCAGTTACAAATAATGTTTTGTTTTAAACATAAAAGTTGAATATTGATATTTGAAAAGATTTAAAACATGAAAAGATACTTGAAATGTGAAATTAAAACCACCAGTAGGTGGCAGCAAGTCACTGTTAATCGAGTGACTAGCGAGTCAATTTGGGCCCTATCATACACCCGGCGCAATGCGACGCCAGGCAGGTCGCAAGTGTTTTTTGCTAGTTTCAGCCCGACGCAGTTATCATTTTCACGTCCAGTGCCACGTTATTTAAATAGCAAATGCACTTGCGGCCATCTGTTCACCCTTGGCCGTGCTGGTCTAAAAACGAGGTGTGTTCAGGCACTTTGTTGGCATGTTGCTATTTTGAGGCAACTGAAAAAGATTGCGGCATTGACCAACTAAAACCTGGTCTAAGGTTATTTAGGTTATTTATTTACAGGGCGCGTTAGTAATATGCACCTATAGGCGAGGGCACACCGCGCGTACACTCTGCTTATTACACACAGAGACGCGCAGCAGCATACAAACATGCCAAATATTAAAAATGAAAGGATTACAATGTAAAAGATTATTATTATGCCTCGTAGATGGTCTGCTCACGTGCTTTAACCTCGCACATGAACAGATCCGTTTCCTACGGTCCCCGGGAGCTGACATGGTTGCTTCACTTAGTTTTGTCGTGGCCACGACATAATAACTCGTGGGAACATGATAATATGTCGTGGCCACGAGATATTAATTTGTGGGAACGTCATATTAACTCATGGGAACGTGATATTATGTCATGGCCACAAGATCATTTTGTCGAGGTATCGACATCCTTATGTCGTGGCCACGACTTCTTATGTTGAGGGAGCTACATATTTTTCTCGTGGCCACGAGTTTAATGCGTAAACAAACCTGTGTCTCTTTGGAGAAGCGTTCCGTCTTTGCTCTTGCTAATTCCGCCATGTAAATAGCGAATCCGCGATGGTGCAAGTGCAACTGGCTTTTAAAAGGAATGGGAGATGAGACTCTTATTGGTTTATTGCACGCTACGCCCAAAACACACCCATGACTCATTAAAGGTGACCTATTATGCCCCTTTTTACAAGATGTAAAATAAGTCTCTGATGTCACCAGTGTGTGTGTGTGAAGTTTTAGCTCAAAATACCTTACAGATCATTTTTTATAGCTTGTTAAAATTGCTACTTTTAGGGTACGAGCCAAAACGCACCATTTTCTTCTTTCCCTTTAAATGCAAATGAGCTGGTGCTTCCGGAGAAGAGGGTGGAGCTTCAAGAGCTCAGGCTCCGGCAATACCGGTGCTAGCCTTTGCAAATAAACACTCCACTATAAGTACAAGCCTGTTATCTTTACAGAAATCGCACTCGGTTTAAAAGTCAGTCATCTGATTGTACCGTGTATAAAAAAAATGCACTTTAAGAATTACACAGACGGGAGCACGGCGCGATAAAAATAACTCATGGTGCCATACAAACTTTAAGCTCCACTTGTGATTAAGAGCTTGACTAATTCCAGCGGTCGACTTCACATTGCTTTCATATGCAGTGGAGACTTTCTCGTCAGTGCAGCAATGGCGGACTGTGTACAACTCGCTGTGAACTCGCTCAGGGCGGTTCTATGTTAAAACGGCAGTGTCTGTCAACATCCGTGGGTGGGGCCTGTTGCTAATGTGACGTGTGGGTGGTTGTGTACACACACTGCCAACACACATTTATGTCCAAACACCATGCAAAAGTGAATTTTGCATAATAGGTCCCTTTAAGAGAATAGGTACAACCCTTTTGGACCATGCGCCTGGCGCATCGACCGTTTTTTCCGTCGTTAAACTAGCAAAAGTGGAACACAGACATCTAAAATGTAAGTAACTCAATACTAAGTTCATTAAACTTGTATAAAATCAATATTACATTTGTTATGCTGGTATCTGGAGAAAAACGGCACTGTAAAAATGGTGTGATATAGATTAACTATATTAAATTATATAAATATAAAAGACATGCAGAGCATATTGAATCTTATGGGCATTCTAAATGCATCTTAAATAGACTAAATCACACAGTGTATGCGTGCACTCTGGGTGTGTTTTTGTTTGTTTTTTTGTCATAGCCTATACTCAATAATGTCAGATCGCACATCATTAAAACAACACTTACGATATTAGACAGACGTTATATATTGCACACCCCAGCCTTGACTTGAGTGGAAAATGAAATCAACCGCGGTTGTGCGAGAACTTGTTTGCACAAGTCTTAACTGTGTGAGGTGAGAATTACCAGTATTTTGCCACTAAAAATTGTATTCTTTAAACATAGTTTCTGTAAAATGGTGGTTATGAATAATGATAGAATTAATAATTATTTTATAATTATTTACATTGATTAGCCCTAGAAAACTACTTTGAGTAGTAATGGGCATCATTTGTTTTGTGTGGATATATTCATAATATTCATTCAAATTATTAATTTTTACTATGAGGGTAACAGCTGCTTCACGACCAGTTTGAAAGTAAATTAAATTATATCTATCACAAGATTGTGTACATTTGTGTAATATACTTTGAGCTTACCATGAATAATATATCTGTTCATTTTGTAGCATGCATTAGTGAGAGCTGTTGATGTTTTTGTTTTGTTTTTACTCAACATCAAAATAAAACTGATAATAAAAGACTGATAAAAATAAATGACTGAATCAGAAGGTATTACCATGTTATCTCCCATCTTCGCTTTTCTAACTAACTGATGCTGAAATAAGGGTTTCCTGACCCTTTAACATTGATGAGAATAGTATGGTAATAATTTGTATGTTTTATATTTCAGCACATGCACAAATGGGATGTGGACTTGTACTGAAAAGACATGCTATGGCACCTGTACCATCTATGGTGAAGGTCATTTTAGGACTTTTGATGGCAGGAGATACTCCCTCTACAGAGAATGTGAACACACCATAGCCCGTGTATGTTTGTCCATGTCTGTGTCACTCAGTGATGGACACACTCTAAAAAATGCTGGGTTACATACAACCCAGTGCTGGGTAAAATAGGGACAAACACAGCAATTGGGTTGTTTTGACCCAGCGGTTGGGTTACTACCCAGAAGGTTGGGTTAAACATTTAACCCAACCGCTGGGTCAAAACAGCCCAATTGCTGGGTTTGTCCCTATTTTACCCAGCACTGGGTTGTATTTAACCCAGCATTTGTAACTAAGTATTTTTTTCTTTGTTACTAAAGTTAAATACATTTGTAAAGTATCTGTATGTTTTATTTTGTATTTTAAACTCTTACTTTTACTGCATTCAAAAGAATAATATCATACTTTTTACTTAACTACATGTAATTAAAACATATTTTTCCTCATTATTTTGAACTGAAGAAATCAATACCCATTCTGACAAAAGCTGATTCTTTTCATTAAATCTATTGAATTGATTTACAAATTGCACTAAACGATTCATTTGCAAATTGACCTGATAATTGCAGCTGTTCTTGAGTCAACAACTCAATGATTCAATAATTTAGATGAAGCAAAAGTATAAGAAAATTAAGCAAAAGTAAAAAAAAAAAAAAAAGAATGTGGTGAACATGCATTTCAATTTGCAAAACTAACGCAACTGTTTAGTGAAGTTACCTATCTGTGGCAACTTCTATCACTGCCTGACATATTACTGTTTGTAACCCCTCTAGGATAATTGCAATATGGACCAGACTCTCTCCTTCAGCATTGTCACACAGAACAAATTCTGTGAGACCACCAGCACCATCTGCAAGTCTATCAGTCTCAAATTCGGGGTGAATTTATTTCATAGCTCAAACTAAGCATAAATGTAGTATTAGAAAACGTGTAAAAGTGTGCAACATGCATATCACTAAGGTATACATATATGTAATGAGGATAGACATTTTTAAATAAATTCTAATGCATAATTTGTGATGAAATCTGTGACCTTGCAATAATGTCATAAGAGAGAGATATCCAGTTACATAAATTGGAGTTACGGAGAATGTTTTGATACTTACTATTCAAATCCTGCAGAGATATGAGATTCATTTTTCCGAGGATGAAGTCAAAGTTATTGGCAATGACACTGATTACCAATATCAGATTCATACTGCAGGGATATATATTGTCACAGCGGTCAAAGGTCTTTTGAACTTAATCTGGGACAATAAAACAAGTTTGATGCTCCAACTTGATCCCAAATTTAAGGTATGCATTCCTTAAAGGTACACCCATTCAGACACAAACACACACAATCACTTTACCCTTTGTTCATCTACTCACCTAAACATCCATTCATGATCTCTATGGCAGGGCAAGGTGTGTGGACTGTGTGGAAACTTTGATGGTAATGCGAACAATGACTTTATGAAGCACAATGGAGAAGTGGTGACGGATCCAGCAGATTTTGGGAATAGCTGGAAGGTGAATCCTGACTGCCCAGATTTGACAAACATGATAGACTTTTGTAAAGAAAGTCCACATCGGCTTGTCTGGGCTGAAAAACGATGCAGCATCATAACAAGTGATGTCTTTAAAGTTTGCCACACACTTGTAAGTAACAGTATAAACTATTTTGTACAGTAGTTACATGTGTAATTTTTTTGAAGTTCACATACTCTCAACTAACCAATGGCAGAAAGGGTATGTTTTTGGAGAACCGGTTTAAAAACAATGGACTCTTTTCACAAGACTGTGATGACGCGTTTAACGGTCATCAGCATCATAAATCCTCGAAAGTTTTTCATATTTGTATTTTTTTTAAAATGTATGTACATTTATAACTTTATTCTTTGTATTATATTACCTTTGCATCAAATTACAAAAAGACTAGTTTACGCTAATGCGCGGGTGTTTCTAATGCAGCGTCTATGGGATTTAAGCTCGTTAAAACAATGGTTTATATAGATTTCAGCCTATATGCAGCCATTGAGTACTACAGCCAAATAGTGGCTATTGATATTTTTGATATTTTTATACGATCATGTGTCACCAGATGTCACCAAAGTCACCAAATGTTTAGGTTTAGGTTGTCTGGACTTACTGGAATAAGTTTTTTTTTTTTTTTCCGTAGGCCTAATATTT